TGCAATATACAGTAAAATAAGGAAATACAAAAGTGGAGCAGAAAAATTCATGATAAATCTTGTAAAGAACTTAAGATAGCTGGTGAAAATCCAAAACAGTAAAAGTTGTCTATTTTCAATATAACAACTACAAGCTTATCAAAAACATCTTAATTTCTTAAAACTTCTTCAGACTCCAAAAAAGGTGGTAATAACCAGAGTTGTTAAACGCTATTTTTAAAAGTAGCGCGCTACCGTAATAGCTATTTGTCAAAAAAAGTAGCGCGCTACCGCTTTCGCTATTTGTCAAAAAAAGTAGCGCGCTATTAGCTACTTTTTTTCAAAAGTAGCTTTAGCTACTTTTAAGCTACTTTTTATAAAAAAAAATTTAGAAACAAATGAAACAAATTTTTTTTATTTATTTTTTCTTATAATGTAAATGTATAATAAATAATATATAAAAATCAACATTTATAAATATAAAAATATAGTTAGTTTAGATTATAAAAAAATAAGTAATATAAATAAATATTTATTTTAATTTGTTGCATTTTAATAATAATATCATTTCAATATTATCATCCCCAAGTCTAGAGCGACGATCAGAAAGTATAAGCTTTGCTTTACTAAATAATCTCTCGACACTAGCACTTGAGGGCAAGGGGGTATTAAATTTTATATATAAATTTTTAATATATGAAAAATTATCAAAAATATTCATTTCAATATTTTTTGATTGAAAAAAAATATCAATTGGATTTTCTATTAAATCATCTTTAATTTCAAAAAACAGATCTTCTTTTTAAAGTCCTAGGGTCTAACCAATGGCCTGTGATTCCCAAATAAGCTCTAAAAATATTTAATCAGATCAATTTATAAATATAAATAAGTTTTTACCTTCTGTTATGTGTCCAACTATCTGCTATGGTACATACATAAGATATATCTGATAACTCTACTATTAGAGCATCTTTCATCACTTTGAAGTTGTCGGCTATTTTATTCATAAGTGTCTGGCGACATAAACTGTTGTGCCAGGGGATAAAGTTTTAATCATCAGAGTTAATGATGGATTATCAACCAAAGACACTGGCTGAACTGTGTCAATAATAAAATCAACAATAACTTTATCAGCCAATTTTTGTGAAATATTGGCATGTTTATTATCCGTTAATTTGGTTTGGATAGTATTTGTCTTTTTGAATGAAGATTCTCCTATACCAAATTTTTTTATATGTTTCTCTATTTCCTTATAGCAATTGGCGTGAACAGTCTAATAAAATAAATATTATTATAATGTAAAAATAACAATTTACCTTTAGATGTTTCTTCAGGTTATAGCTACTCGATTGATTTGATGATATATTTTTTTTACATTTTAAGCACATGAATTTGAATCCAGATTTTGTTTTAATATTTATTTTAAAAATTTTTCAAATTTAGGGAATGGAAAAACGTTATTAGAGCTATTAAGTACATTTTCTTCCATTGAATCTTCCATATCTGAATCACTTTCAAGGATTTGGATATCCATGGACGATGCCATTTTAGATTATTAACACAGATTGAAAATATAAATTAAAAATTGAAAACATATTTAAATTTCAAAATTAAATAATAAATTATAATTAATTATGATATTATATTTAAATTTTTATGTTTATACTTACATTCATTATATTTTTAAAAGTAGCGAAGTAGCGCGCTACTTAGCTACTTTTAAAAAAAGTAGCGCGCTAAAAAATTAAATAATTTTAAAAAAGTAGCGGCTATTAGCTATAGCTACCAAAAAAGATAGCGCGCTAAGTAGCGCGCTACTTTAACAACTCTGGTAATAACGTTGCCTGACATCTAATTCATACCATAAATCACATCTAAAAAAAATCATCCATCTTTATGTATATTACAAGTATCTACACAATTTTGGGTCATGTTCTAATATAACATCTGATTTTTCTCATACTCAAACCACAAAATAAAAAAAACTTAGCATATTTAACAATAAGAGATATAACCTCTACTACAATTACATCAACAATATTCAAAGACTCCAGATTCTTCTTTACCTTTGCATTATAATACAATTTCACCAAATATTATAATATCATTTCCTTCAAATGATAATAACATTCCTATTCTAACTCTATAGGAAACTTCTCTTTATTTACATTACAAATACCTTCACCTTTATCTACATTATAAATACCTTCATCTTTATCTACATTACAAACTTATAACTTAATCTATGAATTCAAATCGAATATCTGGCTTTTCATGCACAGAAGCAGAAAAGAAAAAGATTTCAACTATTAAGTCAGATTAACCCTTCAATAATCCGGTAAAAAAAAATGACGTTAGTACTCGGGTGGGTTTTAATAGACCCCAATTTCAAATGTATATATCTCCAGTAATATACATTATTTTCATTTGATATTTGGATATAAAATAGATCTAACCTTAAGCTTGATAAAATATTTAAATATTTTTATTTCTTAAACCTAGATTAAAAATATGAGGATAATTATAATTTGTGCCAGAATTTTTTAAAAAAAGCTTACTTTTTTTATCAAATATAAAATTAAAAAAATAATTTATCCATCATATAATCATGATAATTCATAATATGGATCATTATTCTTCGATATAAAAAATTTTTACACTAATACATTCAAATATAAAAAAAATATAGAACATACAAATTTACTCTGGTGGAGTCTCACAAACCCCAATCAGTCACAAAATGCATATATTTTAAAAACCACTCAACCGAAATATATGAAATTTGGAATATAGATTCTAAGATATATTTGATAAAGCTAATGAAGAATCCAAATCATAATATTTAATCGTTTTTATGTAATATCATTTCTAGCATGCCTGGGGTTTCATACATCCCACCAGAGTATTGAAGGGTTAAATATATTTAAATTCAAATGCAACAATTTCAAAAAACTTGCCTTTTTACAGAGAAATTGGCTTTCAGTTGCTATAATTAATCATAAAATTAAAGCTATTTACTGCTCAATTTGTACTTTTGCTGGTTATGAAAATTTATTTTCAAAAGGGTGCATCAATTTTAAAATATATGTAGTTGAAATTCAAGAAAATTCAACTGTTCATATCCAAGCAGTGGAATATTTTCTTAAGGGAGCCAGTGGCAACAGCATACAAGATTCAGTTAATAATTATAGCTGGAAAAGCAAAGCAGATTTCAAATAATATTCATATAATTAATAAAGCATATATTTAAAATTGTTGAGCTATTAGGGCGTCAAAAAATACCATATAGAGGTTCTGTTTGTAATAAAACCTTATCAAATTTTGAGATATAAATTTAAATCATGGAAATTTCCTAGAATTAATACGTCACCTATTTAATCATTTAAATAAGGCAATTCAAAGAAGCAAACATAGGAAGGAAAAACTTAAGCTCTCAGGCAAGTTACATTCCAAAGGAAGAGGTTTCTAATTTACCTTATTATCAAAGATAACCGTTGGCAAAGGGATTGATGCAATTCTATATACGCTTAGAAAGCGAATTAAGGAACAATTAGGAGATAAAAGATTTAGACGAAGGAGGATATTATATGATATTCACAAAAAGTGATAAATTTCTGAAGGAGGGGGGAGGGGAATTTTCCCTTGTACCCCCTCCTTGGCTACGCCTATGAATGTAATTCTAATTTGAATAAAAAATTGATCATACAAAATTGTGTTAAACTACATTTTTAACAAGACGCTGCCCCGAAGATTACATCTCAAGGCGTGTTACATATTCAAGAATCGAATTAATTACAAAAGAATTACAAATGGGTAGATGATAAAATTATTTAACCTGTTCAAGATGTTCGCTATGCGACTGTTTTTACCTTTTTATGAGTGATGGCTCAATATGCCTATGTGCCGAAATCAAGAATACCATAAACCCAGCTTTGGAAGATTTTAAATATCCAATATCACTTATCAACGATTTAATTTCAAAATTATCAATAGGCAAGAAATCGACAATGATTAAATTCAAGAACGCCTTCCTTTAAGTTCCTATACATAAGGAGTCTAGGAATATACTCGTGATATATTCGCACAAAGGATACTTCAGATTTACACGACTTCCTTTTTGACTAAAAACTGCATCAGTTCTTTTTCAACAGAAAATGTACAAGATATTTAAAGACGTTATATATTATATCGATGATATATTATCTGGAGATAATGATGAGGCTCATTTAAATTATATTATAAATGTTTTAGAGAGAATTACAAAGTATGTCTAATACCTAATTTCACCAAGAGCATATTTTTCAAAAATGAAATTCGTTTTTTTGGGACATGACATTGATTCAGGTGGATACTCCTAATGTAGATAAAATAAAAGCTATTAAAAACATGCCAGAACCTAAAACAAAAAAGGAATTAACAACATTTTTGGGCATGACTAGTTATTATCGCTAATTCTTATACAATTTTTGTTTTTCCTTAAAATATTATCTATCCTTATTATAATTTTTTATACATTATATTTATTCAAATAAATTGCTTAATTATCTAGTATTTGATTTAATACATTAACTTAGTATAGTAGCATCTAATATAACATACGCCTTTTCAAAATTTAGGAAAAAAAAAATGAATTTTAGACTATATTCTAAATATAAAAATATAAATCTCGAAAATTGCGAATTCAATGGGAAAAAATATAAAAGCCATTTTAATATAAAATTAAAGATGTGTGAAAATTTTCAGTTATAAAATTCTTAAAACTTTTGAATAATAAAACTTTGAATTATTATTACATCAAAAAATTTTTACCAATAGATACATGATATATATTTAAAAAAAAAATAATAATAAGATAAATTCCCCTAGTTTCAATGATTATCAGCTAATTCTATCTAATTTAACAAAAAGTATATTTCTAATTTTTATGACTGTACTTGTGGATACTTAGATTTTTCTTTTTATTTTATAATATATTCAATAGTATAAATAAAATATCTAGTCACGGCCTATTTACCTACCGATATAAGTTAAACATATATTACTGGTGGAACAATTTTATTATATAATTTGATATTATAATATTCTAATTTTATTTGATATTCAAAGATAAGCTGAAAGAATGACTAAAGCTATTTGTGATATACAAGGAAAGGCTAAAGGTGTCATCGAATTTTTTCAAGTAATAGGATATAAAATTTTATATATTTCAAACTATTTTCTTTTAACACATGATTTGGAATAACATTGAAATTCACATAAATAGTATGCATACCTGCTATAGAGAGTTTATTTTTTTACATATTTGAAAAAAATTACAGAAAGATGAACATAGTCCTGTTGAAATCAAAGGTAATTTAGCTGGGTTAGAACCAGGAAAACATGGATTTCATGTTCACGAATTTGGGGATTTGACACAAGGTAATTAAAAATTTTGATATTTTTAAAAATATTAAATTATTCTAAATCTAGGCTGTACTTCAGCAGGAATTCATTACAATCCAGATAAAAAAACACATGGTGGTCCAGATGATTCAATAAGGTAAATTAATGGTTTAATTTTTTTTTTAAAATTAATTTATTAGACACAATGGTGATTTAGGGAATGTAACTTCAGATGCTTCAGGAAAATGTCATATTAGCAAGACAGATAAAGTTATAACATTGTATGGGCCAAGAAGTATTATTGGAAGAAGCTTAGTTGTAAACTAATTTTTGACTCAACTTAAATAAAATTACAGTGTCAAAATATTTCAATTTATACTTATGAATTATATAAATAGGTGCATGCAAAAGAAGATGATTATGGCAAAGGTGGTGATGAAGAAAGTTTAAAAACAGGAAATGCTGGCGAAAGAGTTGGATGTGGAATTATTGGATTAGCAAAAGACTGATTTACTTATATTTAAAAAAACTAAAAAAAAAACTTTTGTCATAGTAAAAATCAAATATATTTAAAATTTTTGAACAAATAATCATGTATTTAAATTAAATATTGACATAATTGTTTATTTTATGTTATGTTATATTATATAATAAAATAATTAATTATTTATAAACATTTTTTTAAATTTAAGGGTATAAAAACTAATTAAAAATTAATAAATTAGACTCTATTTATAGTAACCATAAAAATAATGCAATATCATTGCTTGAGGTTGATGTGGCCTACCCCAAACTTACCTGTGAAATTTTTTGAAAAAAATTGACCTGGTATTTTTTTTTGCCTTGCCTGACTAATAAAATAAATTTAAACATGTCCCCAACCTGTAATAATGTTTTATGAAGAAAGGACATAAATCGTGTTGCCCCAAAATCTAGATTTGAATATTGCTGATAAAAACTTCCAATTTGAGCAAAGCTTGTAATTAGATACTTGAGCATCCTTAATTAATAAATATATATTTGCATATTTAGAATCCTCAAATGATAAATATTGATATATAATATTTACTTATATTTTTTTTAAAAAAATTATATAAATTTATATGTATTTAGAATCATCATCAAAATTTATATATATATGTAAATATATATATTTATTAATTAAAATGCTCAATTATGTAACTAAAATCTTTGCTCAGAAACTGGAAGTTTTTATCAACAATATAATTTTTTTACATTTTCGGGATTTTGGCCAAATATTTTCTATATTTTGAGGTATAATCATGGTTCATGACATTTGCAAAATAAAATACATTTATGCTATCAATTTGGCCATCATCACATACTATAAATAAGCCCTTAGAAGGTTACATTAGCTTTATAAACTAATTTTGTATTTAACTAAACTTGTTTAACATTACTATTAAAGCAAAAAAAAGATTGAAAAATTCCAAATTTTTTTTATTCAAAATAATTTATTTTATTTTTAGACAATGTTATTTATTTCACTTGGTAGCCTTGTTAAACGGTCGATTTGAACCGATTTTTAAAAAAGGCTAACTTAGTATTTTATCCAGGAAAATATTACATAAGCCTGAAGATTATGCTCAAAGATGGCACAAAGGTTTGGACATCTATTAGCGAAATTTTGTGGCTTATGTAATATTTTTCTGGCTAAAATATTGAGTTAGCCTATCCATTTAACAACACTACTTGGTAGTTAAAATTAGTTGTCAACGGATATTGATCAAAGGATTAACGATTCGAGATCCGATCCCTATTTTGGCAAAGTGCTTGGTTTGAGTATCTTATTTTAAAATGAGGATCGCCATAATTTTAATGAACGATTTTTCGATTCTTTTTTTTTTTTACTTTTTCATAAAATATATAAATAAAATGCAATTTTTTTTATTTAAATTTTAATACATGGATGCGCTTGACTTTTTATGCCAAATCATTGAATAATTTTTTTTATCTAATAAATGAATTAATTGATAATTTTGTAAATTTAAAAAAAATCCTCATGGTATATAAAACATCCTTGCCTTAGAGCGCTTCCGTAGAGTGCTTATTTAATAAAGAATGACTAACTGATTATTGAAATAATATGTACCTATCATTATATATTAGTGCACTAAGAATTGATACCAATCATATACTATAATGCTTTCATAATTTTTATTCTAAAATGATGCCACTCTTAGCAGTTAATTCTTATTATGCAAATAATGCTTTTTACTTTAAACTTCTGACTAGTTGAAGCAATAAAATATACCAAATATTGATATAAGTTAGAGATTATATTTATTCAGAAGTGTGGTCGCGCCTTCACACTTAAGGTGTGATATGTTAATTTTTTTTTGTGGTTGGCGATGGTGGAGGATTATAATAAATAAAGCACTATTAACTAAATCACCAAATATTTAGAACTAGTATATTCTCCGTTCTCTTATGATGCCAATTTTCAATTTATTTTTTTTTACGAATAATATTTTTTCCCTTTAAACCATCTTTCAAACAGATTAGCAATAAAATGTAATGATAAAATCCTACTTAATGGTAAATCCTACTTAATGGTATGGTATAAGTTTCAGAATTAATGTTATCAAATCTTGATTAACTTATGACGTTATAGAATTCATTTTGTTTATAACTCCGTTTATTTTTGTGGTTCGCAAAAACTGATGGTAGAATAATATAAGCGCAAATCATATTTTTCATTCTTCTAAATTTTCCCTTCTGGCATGATGCTTATCTTAGCAATTTTTTCTTATTTCGAATGATTTTTTTATACTATCTACCAAACTGAATAAATAATATAAAATTAAGCACAACAATGACAAAATTTCATAATAAAAGCTTCTAGTCGCTTTTTATCGTAAGGCTGATTTTTTACTAATAATTTTTTTTCTTTATACTGGTTATTTTAAAGCTCTAATAGGCGCTAAAGCATGAAACATTGGCAGAATGGGTGTTTTAAATCCAGCCAACTTTAACGGAGATAGTTAGAGAAAAATTTTATTATACCCCTCCCCCGTTGAATAAATTTTGCACTGTGCAGTTGTTATAAAATTATTTGTGTAGTTATAATAATTATGAAATATTCTTTCAATAATTGACAACACGAAATAATTTATTTTTTTATCGGTTTATTTTGCATCAGGATTATATATAATTAGAAATCCAAAATATAGAAAAATGTTTCATTAAAAAAATATGTGTATCCAAGAAATAATCGTGATCCTTTAAAAAGAAAAAATTTATCCTGGATTTCAATCCATATTTTTTGAAAAGGTCGTGATTCGAATCCTTTTATAAGGATCCATAAGCCTGGTAGAATGTATTATTACTTAAGAATACTGTTATATCAATTAGTCTTCAAAAATTGATTTAGAAAAATCAAAAGTAATTTTTTGAAAAATTCAAAAATCAAAATTTACATTAGCAAAAATGATTTAAAAACTCAAAGTCATAATATTAAAACTTCCATATTTATAAAATAAATAATTATAAATTTTGTTAGTAAAAATAAAACTTATATAAGAAAATTTTATTGAAATCAATTATATTAGAAAAAAAGGCGTATCAAATATGGATTAAAAAATGTGAAATAATTAAAAAAATAACACGAGCAACACTTTCAGGCATGATAATATTAATTGGAAACCACATATAAAATTTTGAATTTAATGTTGAATGAAAGAATTATAAAAACTATCAAAATATTGAAAATATACTATTAATCATAGTTTATACACAAGTTATAATGTTATTTATGTTTAAACATGAATTAATTTAATATGACACTTATGATTTTTGAATTTGCCAATGTTAAACTAAAAATAAAAAAGATTAAAAATTTTAATTTAGGTGATTAAAAATAAAACAGATTAGATATGATTGATGTGCAATAAATGTAATGTCCCTAATTATTTTTTTTTGAGTTGCTACACTGCCTGATATAGAATAGATAGGACCAGGGGCGTCACTCAGGAGGCTCAAAAAAATTTTTAAAATTATTTTCAAAATTAGCTTCTTTTTTTTGATTCTACGTCAATTCGGCGCGGTGTCAATTCAGCGGGGCGACAATTCAGCGTGGAGACAATTCGACGCAGCATCAGTTCAGTACGACAAAAATTTGGCGCAGCGTCAATTCAGCGCGACGACAATTCGACACAGCATCAATTTGACGCGGCGACAATTCGACGCGTATCTAATACAGCTGCAATTTATTATAAATTTATTAGTATAAAAAAAAGATGATTAAATAGAAGTAATTTTGAATGTTAGTCATATTAATTATTTCTTTATATTTTTTTACAAAAATCTCAATTTTATTTACTAAATGTGTAATATCAATAAAAAATTTAATAATATCAAAAAAAATTAACAACCAATATTTATAAATTAACAACCAATATTTATACCGATTTCTTTGGTGGATCAATTTACCATATTATAAGGTATGTTGATTAGTAGCCAATATTAGGAAACCTTGGAGATTTTGCGCATAGAAGAATGAAAGAAATAAAGAAAAAGAAAGATTTGGACTTCTATCTCTAATCTTACATATTATTTTGTCTAAAATCGTAATCGACCATTTTTATAAATATGTCCAAATCGGCCGTACGCATTAATGCGCAATTTTTTTATTTTTTTATATTATATATAATGAAATTATAAATATACTAATTGAAAATAAAATGATAAATTTCCAGTGTCATTAAATATGAGAAATTTGACATTCCAATTATCATGGATAAATAAATATAAAGGGCTTTTCATGACATTGACTTAAAAATAAAAAAATTAGCTAAAAAGATTTTGTCCGACTAGATTCATTGAAAGACATGAGTCCGTAAAACTCTTTATTGAACTATATGATGTTGTATTTGCAGCACTAGAATTTTATATATCAAGCAAGGAAAAAGTTTATCAGATGTTGAGAATCTTTTGTAGGCTACCATTAAGCCACAATTTTTAATATCCATTTAATGTGTTTATTTTTTATTTAATTATACATATGATTTTAGCAATATTTTATAAAAAATTGATTTGGATTTAAGGGAGGTTACGAATAGAGCAAAGGATATTGTTGAAATATTAACAAATATTAGAGAGAATGTGGATGAAAAATTTCATAAATATATGAGAAAGTAAAAGAGATTGCTATAATATGTTTTGAAATTTACCTAGAGTAGTTTATAGACAATCTAAATACGCAAATATTGATGATCTACGATTGAGGATTTTTATTCCTCTTATTGGTACATTTTTATTTAAATTAAAGAAAAGATTTATTAGTCATAATTTTATTTTAAAAAGCTTTTATTTTCTTTTGCCAGTTGAGTCGAAACTGTTGATTACGCTTGAAACACGAGAGGATATTAGGAAAATCTCAGAGTATTACATGATGATTTAGAAGTCATATGATAAATTACTTAGTAATGTCTGATTTTCGTAAATCTTGACAGAATGAGTAGTAGCCTTTGAGACCAAAAATGGTCTGCAGGCTCTTTCCATGTGTAATTGAACTTTATATTCCCTGACTAGTATCAAAACATAATTAAATATTTTATACCAATTAGTATCTACACTAATGAAAGGACTTTTTTAACTTTAAAAAGGTTTAAAACCTATTTAAGAAATACTACCGGTGATTTAAATGGATTAG